TCATCTCCCGTAGTCTCAGCATGTGCTGGTAGGGAGAGCCTCCGCCGCCTGTGCCCAGGATGTAACAGCCTATCGTGATCCAATCCAGGTCCGTTTCTGAAAGGAGCCATTCTTTGTTGATGATATTGGGTTTGTAAGAGTTGATGTATTCCTTTGTGTAGATGATCGATTGTGAAGCTGAGCCCTGAGTTTCCCCGTTTGTGTCTGGCTTCTTCTCAACGGTTTCACATGTCTCACTGTCGAAACCGTCGACACCATTGGCAATCGGAGCAGCGTCGCTGAAGTCGGTTCTGGAGAAGTCAAAATCTCCAACAGCTTTGATGATGATTCGTGACTTGTTCGCGATATACTACGAAGATTCGTCAGTATGGCTGCAACGAACACATGGAGCATACATCTCACCTGCAATGGAAAACTTTCAATCTCCGCAATCGTCACCGTCTCCCTCAGAGCTCCGCTCTCAACTGCCTTGTCCACGGCGCGCTGCGACAACGCCTCGATGACCTGCGCAATGCTCTTCGACTCCGTGCTTTCAATCAAGTCAACCACGCCGCTGACTCTCGCGGTGGCAGCGCCAATAGCGTTGGCGACGCCGGACCACTCGGGCTTAATAACTCTGCTGGCTCCTACCAGGGAGTCTGGTGCAATCACCGCGCCACCGCCGACAAGGACCACCGGAATGTCTTCCGGGGAGGTCTTCATGGTGTCCACGATGCGTTCCAGCATCTCCTTCACCTTGGCCTTGAACTCGGGTAGATCGTTCCGGAGGCTGGACCCCTCGACGAGGGAGCGGTCTCCAATCTGGACCGCTGGATCTGCAAGAACAGTGTAATCCGTCGTCGTCGGCACGTCCCCGCCAAATACCAATGCCTTCTCCTGAATCTTGTAGCCCACGCTCTGCGGCCCGATCGTCAAAGCACCGTTCTCATCCCGTCTCACGATGGAGCCGCCCCCGAGACCAATACTCTTGACATCAGGATACGAAAAGTTGGTCCTCACGCCTGAGATCTCGCTATACGCCGCTGCCTGTCTAGGGAAGCCGTTCTCGAGAAGCAGACCAACGTCGGTGGTCGTTCCACCAATATCGACGACCATCATGGCCTCCTTCTCAAGGTTCTGCGTGAGGAACGCAGCGCCACGCATGCTATTCGTAGGACCACTCGAGAACGTCCTAATCGGCAATCTCGCCGCTGCGCTCGCCGGCAGTATCGTCCCATCATTCTGCGTAACAAACACAGGACACTTCAGTCCCAGTCTCGCCACCGCATCCTGGAACGAGTGAATCGTCCGCCTCGCAAACGGCAGAATCGACGCATTCAGCACCGCCGCGTTCTCTCTCTCCAGAAAGCCAATATTCGCCACATCCTTCGACATCACCACGTCAGCCTCCGGATACACCTCCCGCACAATCTCCGCCGCCCGCTCCTCCTGACGATACACGATATCCACCGGGCTGAAAATTCCCACCACAACCACGCTGCGGATGCCCTTCGCCCGCACCGCCTCCGCCTCCCTCCGCACAGCGTCCTCGTCCAGCTCCGCGATCAGGCTGCCGTCGATCTCGAGCCCGCCGTCGACGAGCCCGCGGTGCGCGCAAACGATGTCGCGCAGCCGCGGCGGCCAGTCGACGCCGACAGGGATGTCGGCGGAGAAGGGCCCGCACAGGCGGATGACGGCGACGCGCGCGAGGCGGGCGGCGTCCATCTCGACGACGGCGTTGATGAAGTGCGTCGTGCCGATGGTCACGCTGGCGACGCGGGACGGGTCGAGGGGGGGCGCAGACTGCGCGAACATCTGGGTGATGACGGCGTTGATGCCATCGCTGGGGTTGGGGGTTGTGCTGGTCTTTTGGGAGGCGAGGATGCCGCGCGAGGGGGCGAAGGAGGTTGTTGGGTCGAGGATGACGCCGTCGGTGTTGGTGCTTGGGTGTGTTAGTTTGAGATGAGGGTTGGGGGATGGGGGTGGCGTACCCGCCGACGTCGACTCCTATTCTTAGAGTCGGGGGCGACATGTTGGTTCACGTGGTGATCTTGATTTGGGAAAACGAGAGAAATGACCGGGGTTGAGTTCTGGTCTTGGTGTGAGAGTCTGGGCCTGGACAAAGATCACGATGAAAGACAACAGTCAGAGGCTCTAGGTCGAATGGGAGAACATGGGATCAATAAGACGGGCGAATGAGAACGAGCCCAGGTAAAGTATCGGACGCTCTCCGACGTGGCGCCGGCATCGGGGCCCGGCCGACAACTGACTCCATCCTCCGAAAGACACTGCATCTGTTGGTCTGCACCCCAACTCTGTCTCTGAATGGGCCACTCATCAAAAGAACTGTCAGCAGCTTGAATCATACATATTGAAAACAGCTCTCGTGATTCGCTTCAAAGGACCCATGCATTGCGACAGCTATGTTCAAACTGAAGTGATCCTTCATCGTTATCACCGGCATGTGGCCGGCGGGGGCGAGAATACCCCACATGTTCGGGTTCTTATCTCGGGGGGCAGGATTTCTGACCGGTCGACTGGGACATAATGCGACCCATTCAAAGACCCCAACTCATATTCAAGCACACCATTGGCCCAATGTTTGATGCTCGAGTTGTCGACGCCGGGGTCGTTCTGGGGCGGGATAAGGGTCGCATACCCGGGAAACTGTTACCGAACATCGGTCTTGATATGCATGGCAGATAACGAAGACGCAACGGTGCTGCATCGCGAATGGAGCCGACGCCAAGACTTGAAAGAGAGCCGAAAACATCGGAAGATCTACGGTGTGCTTGAACTGGGCACCGAGATAAGATGAAGGCCTACCGTATATCAGGCGGCCGGCGCCCTCCAGCTCCAGTTTGACTGACTTACCTTAAGTTCAGGTATCCCAAGTTCCTCGACGTAACCATGACCAACAAGACCGTTCAGAGGGTCAAGGAGGCCGTGATCCTAAAGTCCGATGAGTCGCGACACGAGGAGGTCAGCGCCTGGTCGAACAGGGATTTGATCCCGCTGCCGCCGTCTCGTCGCACCTGGGGCTGGTTCAACTTCTTTGGGTCTTGGTCATTGTGAGTAGCAATCACTACGTCACAGACCTTGTACTATCTTGAGTATGCAACTGACCATGAACACCAGGTCTTCACTCAATGTAGCAACATGGCAGACCCCGAACACGTTCTTAACGCAAGGACTCTCGGTCGGCCAAGCCATGGCTGTCATTGTCGTCTCCCGCGCTCTTTGCTGCTTGTTCGCAATCCTCGTCGCTTGGTGCGGTCTGACTTGGCACATTGGATTCACGGTGCAGAACCGGTACACGTGGGGCTTCCGGGCGAGTTACATCCCGTTAATGCAGCGCATTCTGCTGAACTTCATTTGGAACGCACTCCAATGTGAGTACTTCTAAGCCTGTTCAGGAGGGAGTAAAGCTGACTGGATGATCAGGTTGGAATGGCGGCAAACTCGTGACGTGAGGACCATCCCCGAAGAAGTCGGCCATTAAATGCTAACGAGACAGCGTCTGTATCACCGCCATCTGGCCCTCCTTCGCAAAGATTCCCAACACCCTCAGCGCGAGCACACCGACGACAACCTATGAGCTCATCGGCTTCATCGTGTTCTGGGTCGTGTCGATTCCGTTCCTCTTCATCCGACCCGAACGTTTCAAGAAGCCCTTCTTCATCTCATCCGTGGCTTGCGGTGCCGGCATGATCGCCCTGCTCATCTGGTCGCTCACCGTCGCAAAGGGTGTCGGTCCCATATTCTACCAAGGCCAGAGCGTCTCCACCAGCTCACGCTGGAGCGTCTCGTGGCTCATGATGGCGGGCATCAACCAAGCCATCGGACAGAAGGCTGCCGGCATGACGAACAGCAGCGACTTCTCGCGTTACGCAAAGGATAAGAAGGGTTACATCATCGGCACCGTGTCTGTCTACTGGATCACGGGTGTGCTAGTCTGCCTTGGCGGTTTGGTAACCACCGCAGCCTGCCAGAAGATCTACGGTACCATCTACTGGAACCCTCCCGACCTGTTGATGGTCATGATGGATCGTAAGCTCCCCCCCGAAACGCCCTCCACCCGTCCAACACACTAACCGCACCCCGCCACAGACGGCGAAGGCTCCTCCGCCGCCCGCGCCGCAGTCTTCTTCCTCGCCCTCGCCTTCGCCTTCACCTCCATGTTCGAAAACGTCTGCTCCAACGCCGTTGCCGGCGGCATCGACCTCGCCGGCCTCTTCCCGCGCTACATCGACATTCGCCGCGGCGCCCTCCTCACCTTCTTCGCCGCCTGGATCATCCAGCCCTGGCAGCTCATCAACCAGGCCGCCACCTTCGTCGCGGTCCTCAACTCCTTCGCCGTCTTCCTCGCGCCCATCATGGGCGTCATGGTCTGCGACTTCTTCGTCCTGCGCGCGCGCAAGGTCAAGCTGTCGCACCTGTTCCACCCGCAGGGCTCCGACTACTGGTACTGGCACGGTGTCAACTGGCGCGTGATCCCGTGCTGGATCGCGGGGTGGGCGCCCACGATCGGGGGGCTGATTGTCAGCGCGGAAAAGGACGAGAGCGCGCCCGATGCGGTGTATGAGTTGTACTACATTGCGTTCTTCGTCGGTTTCTTCATATCGTTTGTGCTGTTTTACCTTGCCAATCTCGCGTTCCCGTTGCCGAATCTGGGAGAGTTTGATGAGGAGGACAAGTATGGGACTTTCACTGCGGAGGAGGCGGCTAAGCTGGGTGTTGTGCCGACTGACTCTGCTGCCGCTACTGGTTTTGGCAAGGAGGAGGGGATCGACACTCAAGTGAATGAAATTTCGGATGAGAGCTCAGCTGGGGAGAGAAAGTGGTGGAACTTCAGACGCCGGTGAGCAGGGCATGAGACGGATCATCGGGAGGGGCACGTAGAATACCTTATGCGGATGATGTGGGAATTGCACAAAAGTAATCACTAGAATTACACGCTACGTCCTATCAAACAAATGTCTAAAACCCTCGACGACACCATCCTGCTACCACTACCAGATTTAATGCGAAGTCTTCGCTTCAGCCGGAATCTTGAACCCGGTGGTCCTCAGCTTCTGAAAAACGCCATCCGGATCCACCCTCTTGGCGACATCCTTGAGGAACGCCACATTCTTCTCACCGTACGTGGCAATGGGGTTCTGGTCGCCCCAAGCGTAGTTGAGGTACCTCCAGTCCTTGAACACGCCAATGAACTTGGCATATGCATCAATACTCTCTCGGAACTTGAGAATGAATGGGAGCATCTTGTCTTGCAGCTCGGGGGTGTCACAGGTCAGCACAAGCAGCCAGTTGCTCGTCGGCCCATCAGCCACCACGTCCTCGAGTCCGAGGATGTTACCCCCGTTGGCTTGTCCATGCTTGACCATGGACTGCGTAAATGGCTGGAACTGTCCGAGGACGTCGTAGGTTACGCTCTTGTTCGTCTTTCGTGCCATTTCCTCGGCTATGGGGTCCAAGTAGTGCTTGCCCAACATCTGGAGCTCGTCGTAGACGAAGTTCATCATGCGGGCGTCGTTGCGGAATTGGCCAACGAACCAGTTGGCACTAAGCGCGGGGGGTTAGCATGTATTCGAAAAGGAAAACGAGGCCATGAATGTGCTTACTACAGGCCGAGTGACGTAGGTCCAGTGAACTCGGGAACCATCTCAGCAACGGCTGCGACTCGTGAAGTGTTGCTTGTGACATTGATCTTTTCGTACTCGCTGAAGGCTGGAGCATTGTCGACGCCGGCGCTGTTGGTCAAGATTGCTCGTAGTCCATGGGTCCGGTGAGTCCCATACGACATTCCCACGATGTTCTGGCTTGCGGGATCTTGGTCCATCTTATCGGCGAAGTTGAGGTAGGCGCGGAAAAGCTTGTCCCTGTTGGTCTCGTCGTACTCCCGGAGACCTCCCCACATATCGGTGGAGTTGACAACTTCTATGAGGGGTGTCAATGTCTGCATATCATAAGGACTGCCTCTTCATGGACTCACTTTGGTCAATTCTGGTGACGAAACCCAAGTTGCCTGAGCCGCCCTTCTGAGCCTTGAACAGGTCTGGGTTGGATGTCGCGTTGGCATTGACCACGGTGCCGTTGGCGAGAACGATCTCAAAGTTGGTCACCGTATCGCAGGCAAAACCATACGCATTGGTGTGGAAGGAGTACTAGAAAAATATTAGCAATGGCCAAGAAGCATCGGTAAAAGAACTTACACCACCGCCAGTAACAAAACCTCCAACACCAACCACTGAGGCCCGACCACCAACTGTAGTCACATTCTCACCCTTGAGCAGAGTGAAGACCTTTTCCCAAGTCGAACCAGGATTGATCGAAGCAATCTCGGTCAAATTGTTGTAGGTTGTCGTATTCAAGTTGCCTAGAGACAGTATTAGTGAAAGTCTAAGGTATCAACAGCATAGCTGAAGACTTACCGAAGTCAACAGTGATCCCATCCTTCGCGCCATTAGCACCCTTGAAGGCAGAATGCGCGCCACTCCGAATACCAAACGGACACTGGTGTTCAGAGATAATCTTGGCGATACGTGACACATCGGGTGTGCTCGTCGGGAGAACCATGCACCAAGCGGTTTGTGCCGCGTTGGCAGAGTAGTACGATTGTAGCCGCTTGTCGTACGTCTTCGTGTCGGGCATCAGCACCTTGCCTTCGAGCTCAGGGTCCTTGGCTAGGGCGGAACACTGCTTCGATTGTCAGCAACAAGTCACATCCCGACGGCGCCACGTGAAAATGAAGATTGGAGCGTAGGATGGGGTGGTGTGGTGGTGGTGAGACTGACGCAAACGCATTTTGGGCTGCGGCCGCCGGTGATGTCGACGCTCAATGCCGCTGGGACGAGCAGGGCCAGGATGGCTTGGCCTACGGTGAACTTCATGGCTTCCGAGCTCGAGCCGGACTGACTCTTGCCACGCGTGAAAGAGGGGTCTGGGGAGGAATAAGGTTGGGCAAGGTTCAGGGAGGAGGCGAAGATTTGCGGAGGAGGCCGGAATAATCGGACAGGAGAGTGTGGTGTTCCAGAAAAGTTCTGCCGTCTGGATGATGGACTGGGAAGGGATGGCCAGGATGCTATTTCGCGAAAACGAAGAGATGTACGTGATCTTTTATATTCAATCCAAATCTCTTCTCTCGCGCGATGAGTTACCTATTCCCCTCCACGCCATCGAAGGCAATGTCACCCAACATTGCCCCGAACTGCTCCAACAAGACCCCAAGAATTGCGGTGCGACCACCCACCCCCAAAAAGACCCCGAACCAAGGACGTGGAGTCCAAATTTCATCAACATCACTTCGAAATACGCCCGTAGGATCTGCACGTGCCCACATGGGGTGGCTGTTCAGTCTCAAAACCGCCTCTGGGGGGTTGCCGCCTCTCTCGAACGATGCGGGCGGGTAGGCATCTGTCCGATCTGTCCGCCGAATTGTTCAAGCTTGTGACATCCCGCGGAGGGATCTCACGCTCCAAGTGGAGAAAAGAAAGAAACAAGACATCCAAGAGGCTTCGTTTCGCTCTAGTTTCTTGCCCTGGATGGGAAGGCCTGGCCGCTGTCAACGTCGACTTGGGTGGGCATGGTCGTCGGGACTCTGCATGACTGACGGCGCTTGGTATGGATCGCTCCGTGGAACTCTGCATTGGTGAAAGCACTGTAATGTTGCAAGATGCAAGGTTCTACATCCGTTTTACTGACTTGCAGGCTGTCATATTGAACAGTTGATGATCGACAACGAGTCGTGTATGACAACTCTACCGGTGCTTGGAGAAGTTGGTTAATTGAGACACTTCTTCAATACCTCCAACTACCAAATACCGTTAGCGTTGATGGGGTTACAAAGACAACCGCTTTTCTAGCTTCTTGAACGATCTGCAACTGCCGTGTCTCTCATTTTCAACCTGGTCTCTTCTTGTGCTTTTGGTTCTCCCAATTGCTGCGGAATGCCCAGCCGGTAGTCAGATAATCGTTTCTTGACTCCCCACCCCCATGCGACCCTGCTTTCTTTTGAGGGCTGTAGCGCTTACTCTCCGCCAGGTCAATCGCAATCAGCCGCTTCGTCACGCAGCCCGCACCGGATTGGTCGCGGAGATCTTGTGTTGCATATCCAGCGCCCGGGTAGTTGCACCGCACCGCTTTCGTCACACGTCGATACCCGGGGACTCGTCAGGGTCACACCGCTTCGTCTGTGCAAAACTGCGGACGTAAGAAGGCGCGACATCCCGTCGGCTGCGAATAAGATATCCAATAGACACGGTGTTTGCACAAGGGCGAGATGGATTGAACCTTGACATGCTTGATGAATCTGCAGCAGTAGGTCCCCAGCCAGAAAAACTGACAGTCTCATTTGAGAAGTGACCATCGTTGATCTTGGACTTTTGCAACTGATGATATTGACATTGGTGATGTGGCGGGCCGGTACTATTGATGCGGGTATTCATGTACCCATGCAGCTCGGCACATCGCCATTCTTTCGTCTCAACCCGAGTGACAGGCGGGTGCTGCATCTGTGCGAGGAACAGCCAAGATTTGTGGCAGGCAGACATGCTGCTCGAACTGCCCCGTCGATTGTTCGTCTCAGTAGCAGGGATGTTCTACGATCGTGTCTGAATTAACCTCCGTCGTTGAACTCCGGTCAAAACGAAGGCTAAAACTTCGTATGGGGCCTGGCGGGTTCGTACAGGAATACGCTGGCTCATGTTCCCACCGCGGCGACTTACCGTCGTACCCCGCGCGCGGGCGTTGCGGGACCGCACACGATTCCTCTTTGAGTTTCGACTTGGCTCTCGTCTTCAAACAAGCTCATCTCATAGTTCCCCCTCGCTTCCCAGGAAAACACGCGCCCCTTCTCACCGGGGAGCCCCGGACCACGGAACGGTGGAAGAAACACACCAAACCTTATCCCGAGTCCGGACAGAATTGTCAGAGCCAATCACAAAGGCCTCGGGCACCAATCAGACACCCTCACAGAGTTTGCCTTGGAATTTCCACGAATGATTGAGCTGTTTGAGAAACTCAATGTTTAGACTGGAAGGCGGTCTGTCGTCCTTGAACGAAACTGTAGCCTTTCTTGGGAAGGACAACGAGGCCCACGACACGTGCGCCAAGACTTTTGATCTGAGTTATGTGAACTCTAAGCAGAGCTTGGATAGGGTCAGGGCGTCTTGAATCAGGTATTATGTATTGAATGAAATATGGTGAATCATATGCAGCGTCTTGTTGTGGTGTATTGAACAAGTGCCGAAGGGCAAATCGTCTGGTAGCTCATGGGATAAAATCAGTAGCAAATGAAATGGTGGACTCAAACTGACGTCTAAACAATTGGCAAACTTCTGCTCGGCCGTTTTCCTCGTAAGGTTGTCGGCAAGGGACTACGACTGGATGAATCAGTCTCACGGCAGCTTTTAACCCTCCGACTTGCCCATCAAGTGGGGACTAGACCGAGGCCTTGGGGCAGCCCAGGAAACTTTCACCGATGGTGGATGCACTGGCCAACCGCATCTCACAGGATATAGACTCATGCTCGCCTCCGCACCTCAGAGCCATTGGGGAAGGCAGGCCATGTCTTCAATGCAAACACCATGTCCGAGTTTCCGGTCACGAATGGCACCGTGACCCTCTTGAAGCCGCCGGATGGCTATGTGGTCGACTTCGACCACCCGCAGCAGCAGCTCGTGCTGGAACACTACCTGGTGTCTGGAATCGGCGGTCCGATTGCTCTCATCGCGTTATTACAGAGACTCTACACAAAGATTTGGCTGTCGAACGGCTTCCAGGTGGACGATGGTGAGTGTGTGCGGGGTCATGTGCGCGTGTGAAAGTTCAGCTGGATCTCGGGGAACGAATCAAGAGCATCATTATGAGATACATGATGAAGAATGAATTGCTGACGAGGTACGCAGCATTTATGTGTCTTTCTTGGGTGAGTTGTGCTCCGCGCACGTTTTGTGAGCTCGAGTTGATGATGGTACCCAACAGATGGCATCCGTCACTATTCAGGCGGCCTACGTCGGTAAGTCATGATGTTGTTCAACGACCAGAACTGCTAATTAAGATGATGATATCAGGTTCGATAGCTGCCGGCGGCATGTGTGCCCACGCATGGGAGATGCCGTTATCGCGATTCCAAACATACTTCGCGGTGAGAAAAGCCCGCGCAACGACCTGCGACTACATGTGAACAAGGCAGCTGATGCGATACCAGATAACCTACGTCGCTGGCCCTCTATTTGTGCTTTGCAACGGATTCGCCAAATTGTCGCTTCTCGTACTCTACCTTCAACTCTCTCCGCAAAAAAAGTATCGTGCTGCAGTCTGGGCCTCGATATTATTCGTTGCCACCACCACGGCGGGTGTCGCATTCGTCATGATCGTTCGGTGCCAACCCATACGAAAGGGATTTGATATCAAGATATCTGGGGGCACTTGCATTGATGCCGATCCGCTCTACATGTCGAACTCCATTGCGAACATTGTCACCGACATTATGTTGTTCGTTTTGCCGATCCCGATGATATGCAGTCTCCGGATGGGAATGGCCCAGAAGATGGGGGCCATGGCTATGTTTGCCGTTGGGTCCATGTGAGTGGATTTCAGGGGTGCGTTTAGTGAGATTTGATGGCTTAAACATCACAGGACGATATCGACTTCCATCATCAAATTAGTGCTCCTGCCACAACTTCTCAGAAGCAACGATCCGTCGTGGGATAGTGCTCCTGCAAATATTTGGAGGTACGTCCTTCCACTCGTTCTGATGCCACCTATGGATTCTGACGTTGGATTGACCAGCTTTGTCGAAACAAATCTCTTCATCATCTGCGGCTCCATGCCGACGCTGAGAAAGTTCTTCCAGCACTTCACCCCTAGACTGTTACTACGGAGCGACACTTCCTCCATCTCTACCCGGAAACCATACTTGATTCACGTAACCGACCCCAGCCAGCCGTCAAGAGCAGGAACGACTGACTCAGATATTATGAGCCCCCAGCAATTGTATCACGAAGAACTGTTCAGAGGATATCAGGGACACCAAAGCTTGTTAGATTTCAGGGAAGTGGCAATGGTGCCAGAATCCCCTCCTCTTTCCCGTCAAGGACCGATTATTCCAAAGAGTCTGGTATAGGCTCATATGGGCCACGGATGAAATTCAACATTCCAAAGCAGAGTTGTTAGACTTCTTAGAGCGACGCTATGATACCCCTCTCATTATTGATCAATAATAATGCTTTCTTTTCATCAATATCCATCTCAGCCTCTCAGGCTCGACATGAAATCTTCGTGTTGCTAACTACTTCAATTTCATTTATCAGTGAAGAAGCGCAGGGCGATCAATGCTTGCACCGGGATTTGGTTTGACACAGTGACTTCCTAGCAGGCAATGGGAGCGAGTGAGTCCAGAGATGCAGAAGCGGGTGTAGCATGATTGTGGGGACGCATGATACCGGACGATCGCGCGCTTCCCGTGGACACCGAGTGGCATAGAGAGAATCACATTTGTGTCCAGTCACAGTAGTTTAGAATCTACGATAGACGACTCAGGGAGATTGACTACAGCCATATTGTCTGTCCGGGATCAACTCCCTGTCCGGGCACTTTTGTTTACACTGCGCCAGAGTCCCTTGCCCTTGCCGCGCGACATGGGTCATTCCCGCGGACTCAGTTAACATGTCAGGGAATTGTCGCCCGGGCTTCACTCCCACCTGCGATTGAGAACTGAGCTTTCCTCGAAATCATTCATTGTAGAAAATTCGACCAATTCTTTACCCAAGAACCAACTCGCCGTGTGCCGTGCTCGGCATATGCTGGTGACGTAAAGCTGAGGGGCTCTATCGACCCATACAGGCATGTTACGCCCCGCCAAAAGGGGTAATCTGAAGCGCTCGCTTCCGCCGTCGGTGGTTACAGTAAAGAGCACACATCGTATTTGAACGCGCTTTCACTCTTTAAAAATACCAATCACAATTGCTGAACGTGAGAAGATCGAGAAGATACTGTCATCTTCGCTGAACATCATGGTCTTGCCGCGGACTCTGACAACGGCAGCCGTGTTGCTGTCCTCGGTGGGCTCAACCCTGGCCGCCGAGAAGTGCACGGCCGCAACTCCCGACAAGCCCCGCGTTTTCCTCCTCAGCGACATCGCCAACGAGCCCGACGACGCCCAGTCTCTGGTGAGACTGCTCGTCTACTCCAATGAGCTCCGCGTGGAAGGCCTCGTGGCCACGACGAGCGTGTGGTTGAACGACACCACCCGCCCGGATCAGATGCACGACATCGTCGACGCCTACGAGAAGGTGCTGCCCAAACTGGAGAAGCATGCATCCGGGTGGCCCGAAGCCAGCTATTTGAGGGGCCTCATCACTTCTGGACTGCCTGTTTATGGAATGGATGGTGTCGGCGAGGGCAAGGACAGCGACGGCTCCGAGAGGCTGGTGAAGGCGGTCGATGCCTCGGACGAACCCCTCTGGGTTCCAGTTTGGGGCGGTGCGTCAGTCCTCGCTCAGGCTCTGTGGCATGTCAACGCGACGAGGTCACAAGACGAGACTGATAAGTTCGTCTCGAAGCTGCGCGCCTACAGCATCTCCGACCAGGACAACACGGGCTCCTGGATCCGGAGAAACTTCCCACAACTCTTCTTCATCGCCAGTATCCACCACTTCAACCGCTACGCCCTGGCTGCTTGGGGAGGAATCTCGGGCGAGGAGTACTACAACTTCCCTAGTCTCGCCAGCAATGATGTTGTGTCGGTCGATTGGATCAAGAAGAATATCCAGAGCGTCAGCGCCCTGGGCGGGAAGTATCCGGACGCCGACTTCATCGTCGAGGGAGACACGCCTTCCTTGCTGTATCTCATCCCCAACGGCCTCTCGGATCCCGAGCACCCTGAGTGGGGCTCATGGGGAGGCCGCTACGGCCCTGTGACATATGGCGAGGGACACTTTGCGGACAGCGTGGATGTCATCAAGGACTCGGGCAAGACCATCATGAGCGCTCAGGCGACTGTCTGGAGGTGGCGCGAGGCGTTCCAGAACGACTTTGCTGCTCGCATGAAGTGGAGCGGCAGCTCCGAGTTCTCCAAGGCCCCTCATGCTCCGGTTGTCGTACTCAACGGAGACAAGTCCCGCAGGGTCGTCAAGATGATCGTAAAGGAGGAGCAGGAGATTGGGCTGGATGCGAGAGAGTCATGCGATCCGGACGGAGGAGATCTGACTTACAAGTGGTGGCAATACCTGGAGCCTTCTTCCAACAATAACAGTCCTGGACGGGATGTTGGCAGGCTTGAGCTCAGCGATACGACCTCGCCCATCATCACCGTCACCATGCCGTCGAAGGAGGTCCTGCGTGCTGAAGGCCGTAATCGCCACCCCAACGATGACAAGCACTTACATCTCATCCTCGAGGTCTCGGACGGCGCCTTGGTTTCATACCGCCGCATCGTCTTCACCATCCCGGGGCCCAAGCCTGGCGATGCAACTTCGACGGCTGCGAAGGCCGCTGAGAAGACTGAAGCTCATGATGAATTGTGAAAAAGGATATCTTGCCGTAGAAACCATACATGTACCAGAGCCGCTGTACCCCCAGAAGTCTTGTAATACAGGCCATGCAGTAGCTGAAGAAGAAGAAACAAAAGTCTATGCCTTTTCATGCAAATGCAAATGATGACCGCCCCGCCTCCACCAGCCTTTTTTCATGACAAGAAAAACGTGAGAAACATGTTCCACGCGAAGCCGACCGTCATCCCCACCAGTGCCCTGTACCCGACAGGCACAAAGCAAAAGTTGCAAAATGCCACCAGCGGCCACAGCTTCCACGCCGCCTTGATGAGGTCGAAGATCCTTTCGCTCCAGATCTGGTACGTGATGGTCGCGCTCCCCGTCCTCAGCGCCGACGTGATGATGAGAAAGGCCGAGTTCATCATGAACAGACCCAGTGTCTGGTCGACCACGACCTTGCGCGCGACATTGAAGTAGTTCTTCCCCGCGGGTGGTTGCTGTCCGCCGACGACGAGTAGTTCCGGCTTGTCCGGCTTCTCCTCCCCCTTTTCGATAGACGATGATGACGCCGCCGCCTTGGCCGCCGCCTTGCTCGCCGAGTTGGGAAACTGGTCCTCGAGGAAGTGCTGCCACCAGTAGTTCATGTGTCCCTGGATGAAGCCGAACGTCGCGAACTCGAAAATGCGCCGGACGTCGAGCGGCACGGCGCCGCCCTGCCTGTGCTGGTTGACGATCTGGGCCGTGAAGTTGGCGGACGCTTTGAGGGTTGCCGATTGTAACGCCGTGGCGAGGAGGCCGGGCATTGTGGGCGCAAGAAGGGGAAAAAGCAATCCCACGGGTTGTGCGAATGAGTGCGAGTGAGGGGTGGCTTGCACTTTATTTTCCCCTGTTGAGCACTATCGAAGGGTGTGTGGTGTGGCTTGATATCCGAGTTAAGGGGGCCTGCACTGGTGATGGTCGTCGTCGTCGGCGTTTGCAGATGCGGTGTGTTTTAATTGGGACCACGTTGTACTCGGGCGAGGCACTGTCAGCGGCGGCCGATATCGTGCTAATTTCCGGCCCCCTCGGCAAGCCCTGCCACTCCCCATATTAAACAGGAAGGAATAGCCACCCTTGTCTCACAGGATCCGAGCGAACACTGCAGACAAAGCTGGTTTTAGGGGGCTTTGGGGGGCTCAAATTCATGCATGGGGCCTTTGTCAGGTTGTCTCTGCGCTAAATGGGAACCAGCAAGCAAAACGCCAGCCAAGAGACATAGGATTTGAAAGTTGGAATTCAATGTCTTGGCCACATTTGAAGTCCAGTGAGAGTCGCTCTACGTAGAAAAAGGGATAACTGGTCCAATCGTTCATTTTGATTGAACTACTGAGAACTCATGCCATTCATCAATTAAAATGTTGAAAGAGGCTTGACTCTAGTGCTCCCAACATGTCGGCGCTGAACATGGATGCAAGCCCTCCCTTAATAGATAGACTATTCAATTGTTCGGAGAAAGAAGATAGCTCAACACACAGAACTCCCCCCCATTGCCATGAGAAGCTTTGTTTTCCCTGCCCATGGAAAGGGTCATTTTCATTCGTTGCGCTGTATCGAATTGAGGGTGGTGACAATCGGACTTTCCATACCTTAGCTACCCGCTCATTAGAAGATGACAACTCGTAGAGATTCTCAACGCATGAAAAGCCTCCAAAGCTTGGTCTTTTTCTTCGGGCATTGATCCTCAGTTGGAACAACAAGATCTCGCTCTACGCATCCTCCTCTTGCTCAAGCTCCATCTTCTTGGCACCCTTATCCTCCGCCATGGTGATCTGGGCACCGAGGCCAGTCGACACGTACTTTTTGAACTCTCTAGTTTTGACATCGGCCTGGAACATCTCGTCAAGCTCCTCAAGCGAGCGATTCTTGGTCTCGGGAACCATCAGGAACACCCAGATAGCTGCGACAACCGAGAAGGCACCGTAAATGAATGTGACACCGCCGCCAAGCTTGGCCTGAACGTAGGGGTTGACGAAGTTGATCGGCACAGAGGTGAGAAAACTTCCCATAGATGCGAGGAACAGAGTCTTCTCTCTGAGCTGGCCAGTGCCGATTTCTCCTGCGACGACCCAGCATCCAGGGCCCCACGTGATTCCGTAGACAGAGTACCTGTCATTGTCTGATCAGAGTGGTTCATAAATATTACCAAGGACGACCTCGCTTACCAGAGAATGAGCAGAGCTGCAGCAGCATTGGCAACTGCAGAAGAATAGTGACCAGCAGACCCGGTCGCAGTCGCGGCGCCGGTACCAAGCATCATGCCAGCAAGGAGCACCGCGCCCAAAGACAGCGATCGTCGACGGCCAAGTTTGTCAAACGTCAAAAACGTAATGAAGTGCACCGCAAAACCGCATCCCGTGACCATGACGTTCGTCCGCAAGGAATCGGGAAACCCGAGCTGCTGCATGAAGGTGACGATGAAGTTCTGGATGAACGAGACACCCTGCGCCTGCTGGAGAATCTGCACGCTCATAGCAATGATTGTACGACGCAGATTAACGCCCCTGAAGCAGTCCTTCAGAGATGTGGCTTTGTGCAGCTCGCGCTGCTCTTCGACTTGGATTTTGAGGAGCTGGACCTCTTGTGCGATCGTCTCGGGGTGGTTGGAAAGCTTCTTGAGGACCTCCTCGGCTTCGTTGTATTTTCCGCGGTAGATCAGGTATCGGGGAGACTCGGGCATCAATGGGTACATGACGACGTAGCCCAATGGTACGAAGAGTTGGCACAAGATCACAATCCTGTGTAATTTGGTCAGCAGCTGGGGACATTATTGAGGTCGCGTGAATACTGACAGATATTGCCATTGATCGTTCCTAGTCCGCGACAAGTACACTGCAATGGCAGCCATGAAGACACCGAAGGAGAGGAAGAAGCTGTACAGTGCCAGGAAAGCACCTGATTTGTCGTCAGTTCAGTACTTTTCACGTTCATGAACTATCCACTTACCTCGAATTCTCGGGGGAGAGCACTCAGACAGGTACATGGGCGTCAGGTTCGATGCCAGTCCCATGCCCGCGTAGACCATAATTCTTCCAACTACCAGCTGCCAGAAGGATGTGACCGCAGAAGACTCAAGTACGACACCGGTACCCATCAAAGCAGAGATGACCAAGAAAGACTTCTTGCGACCGAATCTTGAGGTGACAAAGGGCGCAAGAATGCATCCAATGATGATACCAGCCGAACCCGTACCGGTTCCGACAGACGTTTTCGTTGCTGGGATCGCGTATCGGCCGAGGGCGTCGTCGTATTCGCCGTACTTCTTTTGGAACTGCGACAGACCAAGTGCACCTCCCCACCAGCCTGCCAATGTGAGATTCTTGTTTTCGATCAACACTTTGTTTCAACTAACCATTGTCGAAGCCGAACCCCATTGCGCCGAGGTTGGCGACGCAGCCGATGAGCATCAGGCGCCAGTTGAGGTCCTGGTAGAGGGGATCATTCTTGATTCGGGCCAACATCTTGCGTTTCAAATATTGAGGCTACTGGAACTAAACGAGCCTTATCACGCATGTAGGAAACACCATGAAAGTCGGCATCATGAACTCTTATATGGATTGAACGTCGCGTCGGAACAACACGGATTGACCCAGTTTCCCCAGCTGTCTCATTGCGGGGCCCCAAACCAGCTGATTGCTGCTTTCTGGGGTTTATCAGACGACCTTCGGGCTTCTCACAGCAATGTGAAAAATCAAACTGCCGAATGAGGCAAGTTTAAACACCTTGCCCGGTCGCGGAGGCTGGTAAGACCCGAGGCATGTTGGTTGACATGGCGCAACCTACATGTTGCCTTTGAATGGCTGTGCGGAGTGGATGCGGAGAGTCCCCGGCGGCTGCTATGAGGCCCTGTAAGCTTGTTACGACGATTTGGCAGTTGGTCTGGCTACAGAGCGCGAGAGGTGGTTAATGTTTCCTTGTTTAGATGAGATCGGCATCGCTTCTTTTTAACATGTGCAGGAATGACGCCAGGTTCTACCGGTCATGGATTTACGAGGTCAGCCAACATGTTTTCCCGCGCGGATGCTGTTCAAAGATGCAACTCTGTGGTCCCAGCGACCGCTGTGAAGCTTGAAATGATTCAAGGATCCACCGCAAGTGGGAGATTTAGGCATCAGCCCAAGATGACCGACACTTGCGAGACGGTAGTCGGCCAGGCCCAGGCCCAAGGCCCAAACCCCAGCCCAAATCCCATCTTTACGTAAGGGATTAGCTATACTACTTTATAGCTAGGCGCACCTAGCGCTTATAGCTAGATTAATTAAGCCACTTCACGTAGGTTATAAGCCCTCTAAATACCTAAATCTATCTACTAGATAGTAAAGTTATTCCTAAGTAACTATTAGAACTCTAATTTTATAGTTTAGTAATTACTATAAAGTAATTAATAGATTACTAAGCTACTAGAAGTAATACTTCTAAGTAGAGGTTATAGCTATTATAATATATATCCCTTATTTATAAAATCTCCTTAGCCCTTAAGTTACTAAAGTTAATAATTATTTAATAATTACTATAGTTATATAGTAATAACTATTTAATAAATATCTAATAATTACTTATAACTACTCCTTAAACCTCTCTTAAACTACTAAATTAATTAAATAAATTAATATATCTTTAATTAGTAATCTAACTCTATTTTCTTCTAGCTTTACTAGAAGGGAATTATCTTAGACTAGCCCTCCCCCTTTTTTTACTATAGACTTTATAGCTAAAATAGCTATATAGAAAATAACTAATAAGGGACTAGATCTAAGAAGTTTAGTATATAATACTATCCCTAAGCTAACTAAAACTATAAACTTTAAACTATAAAAGATTAATCTTAAGAATACTTTTAAAGTAATAAGATTACTCTTCTACTTAATAGCTAAAAAGATACTAATTAGATATAATAGAGATATAGTTTTTAAAGAAGATAAAGTAGTAGTAATTAAAGATCTAAACTCTTTAGGTAATTTAATATTTATAGGTTTTATACTTATTAGATAGTTACTTATAGAGAAGATCTAATATAATCTCTTAGAAGAAATAATTAATAATAGTCTTTTTATTATAGTTTTAGCTTTCTATATCTTTATTAAGACTAAAGAATATACCTAGAAGTTTAATAAACTAGCTATAAATAAAATTTATAATAACTAGAATAGAATAACTAAAATTAACTATAGTAATATTAAGGATTTTATATAAAATCTTTACTTAACTTTTAATAAACTAAATAGTTTTAGTATAAGCTTATTAATTATAACCCTTACCTATAGATTTATTTAGGGTTTTAGACGTTTTAATTAAATTAAAATAGACTTTATAGAGAATAACTTTATTATAAGGATTTAAAATTATAATAACTTCCTATAAAAACTTAGAGACTTAAGTAAAAAGGAATAATATAAATAAGCCTCTTAAAGTATTAGAGCTTTATTAAATAAGAAGAAATTTACTATAAAGAAGTAAACTTAAGCTTTTAAATCTAAAAGTATAAAACTATAGGATTTATATATTTCCTATAATATTAAGTATCTTAAGACTCTTTATAGATATAAGATATATAATTATTATTATAGAAAGATAATATTATACCTAGATAAGTATAATAATTATTCCTTTAGATATTATAAGTATTATACTTTAGTATATAATAAGTTTAAGTATACTAATAAACTAATAATAACTTAGTAATTAATAATATAGGTATTTACTTTAGTATTTACTTTAGAAAGCTAAACCTAAGATAGTATCTTTAGAAACTTTAGTATTAAATAGG